GCTACCAAAGTATGGGCATGCCAAGATCAGTAGGCTTCCGAAAGAGCTGCCCGCTGCTTCGTATTTGGACTAAAATACTTACTCCAAGACGACATGCAGAGAGAAAACATCATTAAAATATCTGACGATGCACCCTACCAATTTCGAAGGACAATTGTCGCTTACTGTACATGTGAGCCCTGGTGGTGTCCATCGGGACAGGGCGAAGACATGGAGGAGCTGGCATGAATTGCAAAACCACGCAAACTTATAACAATTGCAGTGCGATTCCCTGGTTGGTGGCTCCCGGGCAGGAATGAAAGGCGAGGCGAAAGGGAAATTGAAAGGGACGAACCACAAGCAGGACATACATGCGGCATCCGGTTTGGTTGGCAAGGGATGGATGCCGCAACACCGCAATCCGTAATAAAACAAGCGCTTGGCTATGTTTCGATATCCCGTTCTTTGAGATCTTGTTATGCGAAGGCACCAACTCTCCACGCGACAGCCTGGACATGGGCAAACCTATCCTGACCGTGAATAGTGTAAATGACGGCGCCATCCTACTTAGACATGCATACCCAACTAGGCTGGGAAAAGATACCACCCAATCTTATATGAACGCACCCCAACGGGTACCTGACCATCTTCATGCGCATAGTTCAAAGAAACTGGGCAAACAGAGCTGGGCAAAGCTACCAACACCGGGCGAGTTGTCAAGCGCACAAGCAAGACCGAGTGCAGAATCCACCCTCCATGATCTCATCTGTCACACCCTACTCAACAACGTTCCTCAAGTACGTTACTTGGAATGCCCGAGGCCTCACATTGGTAAAAAGCATCGAGTTTACTAAACACCTGCAACACTACAAGCATTGCTGTGCTGCGTATCCAAGAAATAGTGGTTCCCAAAACCGACGTTCACCAGCAGGATGAATACACATTCATTCTCTCTGGTAACATGCTTCCCCTGCGCATTTTTGAGAGGAGGAAGAGGAAGAGGAAAACTGATGGGACGAAGCGGACAGAACCGACGAACACGCATACCGTCAACAAGGGTGCCAGAGCGGACGACAACTCCAAAGTCCGGCCATGCTCTTGGAGCCCTACCCCAAGCGAACAAGGGTCGCCACAGTGGGAGGGGGGGACAGAGGGATGAAGAGGAAGAGAAGAGGGGAGGAAAGAGGAGGAGAAATACAAAACAACTGTCGCAGCTGTCAGGCCAACCTGCCATAGGTGAGTCTTTTCGCGCACCCACCAAACTGACAGACGTGAAGACTCCGTGCCTTACCACCTAGACTTATAAGCCCGATCAAACGCGAGGAGGAGCAGGAGGAGGACGAGAGGGGCGGAGCAAGAGGGAAGGGGAGAAGCAGAGGAAAAACTAGACGCCTCAACCCGGAAGTATTGGAGTAAAAGAGAAGTTGTATCCGATAAAAGTGTTGCAGGGCTCCCTGAGGAGAAAGCGGAAAGCCAGAGTGGCGAGCAGACCGCTCCAACCTGCGCTCCAGGATCGCGCCCAAGCGCCGAACAAGGACTTCCAGACCCGAGGTGACGGCGAAACACCCACAGAGCCAACGCCTCGATGCCGCCGCCAGCCGATCAGAAGAGCAACAACGCAGAACTTCACCAAACATATAAAAATACAACGTGCACCGTGCGAAAAAAAACCTGGCGTGAAATGGGGGGGAAACAAGACGGCGGGGGAGGGAGAGGCGAGGGGACAGGAATTGCGCCTGCTGTCTCGCAGTCGTATCGCTGGCACCTGGCAGTCGTCGAACGAATGCAGCCCTCAAGGCGAAACGCTTGCACCAGACAGAGAAGGTCCAGCGCCAGCAACATCTGCCACTGTCCGCCATCCGCGTGGCGCGTGGCTAGCGTCGCTAGGCTTGCCTCGGTCCAGGGACCAAGCGAAGGAGGCGGGGAGGGGAGAGGAAGCACAGCACGCACAGACGACGACGAGGAGGAGGACGAGGAGGAGAAGGAGGGGCAGAGGGGGAGGGAGCGAGAACGCAAAAGCGCGGACGCGGTAGCACTCCGTGCCGGGCGGCCTGGACATGGGAGGAAGGGAAGGGAAGGGCGGAGAGAGGCGGGCGACGACGACGGCGGGACCGACGGCAGCAGCCGGGAGACAGGAAGGATGGCGGGTCTCTGGTGACAATACAGACGATCGCACATGGGCAGGGATCGGGATCGTAGTCGCACCGTACGTTCGCAGACAGATTACATCGTACGAACAAGTGTCAGAACGGTTGTGCATACTCAAGCTACGATTGCATGCAATGTTCATACTACTCAAACTACAACGTATACGCACACCGTAGTCTTAAAACTTTGCCTGCCCGTGCAGGATTCAATAACTTGTGAAATACAGAGCATGCCGCGCGAATCTTGGGACAATTATTCAGGAAGAATTCAAAGCGCGCACTGGCGAGGCGCATCCCGGAGAAGACGTTGGAGAGCATGGCTGAGTGAGGGAAGCACTGCACGGAGTGGAATCACCAAATCGAAAACTACTACTAGATTCTGCCTGGGCGCAGGACTTGCGATTCCAAACACCTTCGTGAATCATAGTCTAAACATGAGAAATACTTTCCGGGAAACTTGGGTGCTACCACTCGCTGCCATCACACCAGCAACTCATAAAATCTTAGACGTCGCTTTTATGCGAACCTGGATGGTCGGGATAATTTGAAGAGCTCTGCAGCCACCGACGAGCAACGCTAGCTACAGAACACTACCTGGAATCATGGCCGATGGGAATTGTGATTTCGCCTGTCCTCACCAAACAGATGTCCGGTTACGGCAAGACGGCACTCAAGCATGCATTCACTAACATGTTCAATGCCAGCGGGGGTGAAGCCGACACTGCACAACAAACTTGGGAGAATAGATAAAATGCGATCGCTGAGGCAGAACATGCTCTGCCCCGCAGAGGCTGGCAAACACTACAGCCATGGGTCTCTCCAAGGACTTTGAATGTTGGATTGGAGCTTGGCACGATCTTCTCAAAATGCGGTTGCAGAAAGGTCGCTACTCGAACAAGCAAGATTAATCAGCTTGTATAGAAAGGCAAATCGTCGATGGATGCTGGGCCTCACTTAAGCGCGTCTGCCAGCCGAAGCCTCGCAGGCAGGAAAGCATCATAAATTTGGATGGCGAACTTGTTGACAGAGTACTTCGAGAAAATACAATGGAAAATGCGACCTGCGACGCTCATTGCGCGTGAGTCATTGAAACCACCATCGCTTATTTCAGACAACGATTTCTCAACGCAAAAGGTGCGAACGGCGACGTCGAAATGGAAGAAAGGGAAAGCACCTGGACCGGACAGCATTTCTCCAGAGTACTGGAAAACCCTCGGAGATGACACCAGAGAGCTGGAGACGATTACGAAGCTGAGAAATCAATACTGGCACGAGAAAAGTACAAGAAGATTGGCGACACGCAATGATGGCGACCATATACAAGACAGGCCCCGTGGACCAGTGCGACAGTTATCGCCTAATCAGCCTTTGCGCGTGATGTGTAGATTGTTCGCAAACGTGTTACTGACGAGGCTCCAGCATGGGCCGAAAATAGACTAAAATGGACACAAGACGGGTGCAGGCGGATTAGCGGGACGACCGACGCTGGTCATGCGGCGCGCAGGCATATTGAACTTGCGCGGGCTACACGCGAGGGCAGCGGTGCACTGTTGGCTGTAGATTGGAAAAAGCATTCGACTTGATCAACGTGGACGCCCTCCCCGATACACTCATGACTTTCGGTGTACCGGCGCACTTGCCACAGCTGGTTGGCAACGTACATGGCATTGACCATTTAAGCGTCGCAGAGAGGAAACGGAGGTCAGAAAACAGGGGGCAGAAGACGGAGATTTTGCAAGGGTGCCCATTGTCGCAGTTTTTGTTCGTAATGGTCATGTCGGTATTGGTCAAAGATGTGGAGAAGAAGCTGAACACCAATATTTGCCGTTCAATGACCTTAGGGAAATCTCACTTCTTATATATGCTGACGATACCGTGCTGGCCGGACGCAACCAACACCATGTGGAACAACTCCTGAACGAAACTTCCCGGGCAGGCGCAAACATGGAATGAAGCTGCATTGGCGACCCTGCTGGCAAAAATCGTGCCTACGTCGCGAATGAAGCATTTTGGGGCCACTCTTCATGACAGCGGGGACATCAAACCAGAGCTGAGCTAGAGATTGGGCGCAGCATGGGGGGAGATTTAAAGATATGCGGATACGTGGAACCACACTGCGGTGGACAAAAAACACAGCATGAAAGTGCTCGCTGCTCTCATCGCGAGCAATTTGATTCAAGTCCGGCGTGGCTGAACAGAGCAGAAAGGGTGAAGATAGATGGGCTCCACGCCCATTGCTTGAAGCTTCTTTTGTGCATTGAGCACCTTACATATCTAGATTGTCAAACAAGTGTCCTTTCAAGAGTCTGGTCAGAAGTCATACTCGTCGCAGCTGCTACGACAGCAATTGGTTTTGCTTCGGAATAGATGCCGGTCACATGACACAGATGCTCTGTGACAACATACTTTTTAGCCAAGCAGCCGACCGACTCATGCCAATGATGATTTGGGAGACCCAGAAATAAATGGACAAAGCTTCCATGCTGACCACCGCTTGTACAAAGCCGCGCAGGACCAGGCAAAGTGGCGAATATCCTGTACTGAGCTCGCTTCTGGCAATAGTGAGGACGATTTGCTCTAAAACTGCCTTCTTCCCCCCACCCTCGGCCCCTCTTCCGTCTCCTCTCGTTCCTCTGCTTCATAGTCGTGGGGCACTCAGTTTCTGCTTCACAGTCATGCTGCGCTTTATTTTTCTGCGTCACAGTCGTCATGCGCCCCTCTTCCCCTTCATTGGCATGCGCACTGATCCCGCCCACGCGCCAAACGGCGTGCGGCCTCTCGACTCGACTCCGCCCAGAAATGGCACTGCAACATTCCACGGGCGCGAAAGAAAGCAAACCACACTTTTTCGTGCCGGCGACCGCACGCCCGCGCTCACACAGATCTCCGGAAGGCCCAGAAGTGGAACCCGTCGCGCGGGGTGTAGTCCTCCCCTGCCCTGGCCTCCTCCAGTCATCATCGGTGGACCTATCCCCACCTCCTCGCGTCATTGAAAATCACGACGGCGGGCTCTGGGCCAGCTGCGGAGTCCAGGGGCCCTCGCGAGGCCCCGGGACTGTCAATAACAATTCGGGACCAGAAGCCGATCCCAGGAGAAAAGTCCAGACCTCTGGGGGTCCACGTCGAAGCTCTGGGTATTCCCATCCCGACTGAGGAAGCATTGGCCCCGCTGTCCGACCTGACCCCCTAGATGAGGATAGATGCCGTGTTTCGTGGCACGCATCCTCACCTTGAGGGGTTAGGCTGGCGGCACCAAGAATCCTTGGTAGGGTGGAACAGGCCTGACGGAGTCGATCCGGTGCAGACACCCTTTGAACGAGCCAAATAACATTGGATCGAGAAATCAGATCGGCTCGGCGTGTGCGTCGGAACAGGCTGCATCGGCGCGGAGTCGAGATCGAATCGGACGGCTGCGCAAGGTGGCACAACCGCCATGTAAACATCGTGCCGCATTGGATCTTCAGAATATCGGAGTCAAATTGGATAGACTCATCGACGTAGGCCCTGGCTAGGTCCCCATCCATTACCATTACGCCTCCCTTGAACTACGCCATATAGTCCTCTAGAAACCCGAATATCGTTAGGTAGCTCGCGCAGACGTTCCTCTAATGTGACTGTCCCTCAATCGGCTCCGAGCAGCGATCTACCATCCTAGACGCTGAAGGCTTGTTGGAAGATAGGTCTCGATCGATGTGCACGGGATGTTGCCGTGCAGAGGTGACCTTTGCCTAGTGAATTAGAAAATGGTGTTATTGCAGTGTCCTGCATTTGAATTCGAATGTTGCAAATGACGCCATATCCATGCCGTATCTTCGTGTGCTCCAAACGTTCATCTCGCGCTTCGCGCGCGCTTAGGTTCTACCTGCCTTGGATCCTGACGTATAGCGCAAAAACGGAACCATGCCCCAAATGAAAGAAAACCGTGAGTGACCAAACCAACACGTTCGTTGCTGACCACGGAAAAAGGCTCGGGTTCAGGCAAGGTGCGCACAACGACACACGAGTACTCACAGGTGCAAGCATGAACTTTCCACCACTGCTGGTGAACCCGCCCCGGCGCTCTCCACGAAGGGAGGGGAAGGGGGGAGTAAGAAGAGGAAGGAAGTAGAGGAGGGAGCAAGGGAAGAAATACGAGGGACGGAGGGGAGGGAGGACGAGCAGGCATAAGGAATGAGCAGAAGGAGAAAAAGGATGAAGGATGAGCCAGAGAAACAGAAAGGATAAGGACGATGAGGATGACATGAGAAAAGCTATCAGGACGGAGTAATGGGTGTGGATAGGTTGGATGGCCGCCTGCTCATATTCGTCGACTTCCTTCTCCTCATCGGAATCCTCCTCCTCCGCATCGTCACCATCACCATCATGATCAACAGCATCATCATCATCATCAGCATCATCATCATCATCATCATCATCATCATCATCATCATCATCATCATCATCCTAGTCGTCTTATGCCTCCTGCGCCTCATCCGTGCCCTTCGTTTCGCACCCCTTCGTTATCCTCCCACTCCTCCCTTCAATAATCAGACTGGGGGGCGTCAAAGTCCATGCAAGTCCGACACCCATCGCCACTGTCCTCGCTGGCTCGACCGAACAACACGTCGCCCTGTCATCAGACCGCTAGGGTGCAGCCCGAACTCCCTCGGGAACAGCCGAGCTCCAAGGGAACCAAGACCTGCACGCGAGGACCTCCGAACCTTTGTTTCGACTGATACCACTCGGGCGATGCTTAATGGCGGGGCACAAACATAAAAGGGGAGCGGAAGAGAAGTTTGCCTTCTGTGAACCGTCTTGGCCCCAGGGAACCCCTTTAGGGACGCTTCCCTGCAACCCTCGACACCTCGCCATGCATCGCCCTCCCCCCTTCATTACGAAACACCTGAACCACGCACCCTCCCCTCCCCTCCCCTCCCCTCCGGGTGCCAAGAGACCGGCACAACGGCTGGGTCCGCCTTCACGACAGGCACCGTGCCGCCACCGCCAGCACTGGGCAGCGCCCAGACCTGCGCGGGAGCCCCCTCCCCCCCCACAACACACACAAACACACAAAAAAAACAGACACACACACAACTTACACAACACACAACACACAACACACACACACACACTCTCTCTTTTTTCGGTCGTTGCGGCCGACGACTCGCCAGGGCGTCGGGCGCCCGCGCGGCCAGAGCCGCGCGCGCACGCAATTTCGGCGGAAAGACAAGGAAGACGGCCGGCCCTTCACGGGGCAGTGGCGCCGCACCAGGACGGGCGGGCGAGAAAGAGCAGCTCGCGGCAGCGGAGCCGAAGCGCCACGCCAAAGTGAGGCGGGCAGGGCGCCTCGACAGGGAATCAGAGGCGGGCGGCCGGAGCCGGGAGGAGCCACAGCGCACTGGCGATGTTCCCAGCAGGCCCAAGCAGGGCAGGGCGGAGACGAGCGGGGCGGCCGCGCCGGCTCGGCGGGCAGAGAGCGGCCCGGGGAGAAGAGCCGGAGCGGCGCCCAAGCAGGCGAGACCCCGTCAGCAGGCAGGGAAGGCGCCCACGCCGAGAGCGCGGACACCGCCCGAGGAGAGCAGCGGGCCTCGGGGGAGGGGGGGGGGCGGGCCCCGGGGCGGGGGCTAGCGGACGCAGATCGACGCCGAGAGGCCCCAGAGGATCGAACTGCGGCGAGCACCCAGCCGGCGCGCCCAGGCCAGGGCCAATCGGGGGCTGAGCAGAGGCTGAACGCGACGGAGAGACAGCGCGTCATCCAGCCGAGCCAGCAGGCCCAGGGCCCGGCCGGAGATGAGCTGAGCCTGCATCGTCGCTGGGCATTGGCGACGCGGGATCGTCACCGAGGGGCTCCCGGCGGACCGTCCGAAGACTGCGTCAGGCGAAGCAGGAGGCCACCGCAGGCCTGGCAAGACCAGGGCATGACGGAGGCGGGCGGAGACGAGCAGAAAAAAACCGGGGAGAGGTCGAGCCAGGGTGAGGCGGCAGACCAGCGGAGGGGCGGTGGGTGGGGCGGGCAGGCACCCCACAAGGGGCGCACCAGAGCTACGACATGCACCAAAGGCGGACAGATCCGCGCCCGAGGTAGCAGGAGCGAAGTGCCAAGGCAGAGCCCGTAGCGACAACAGGGCAGAGGCGACGCGGGGTCGACGCCGACGCCGAGGGTCTCCCAGCGGACTATCGGATGACCGGGTCGGGCGAGGCCCGGCGAGACCAGGGCCGGCGCAGGGCGGGCGGGGGACGGACAGCAAAAGGGGGCAGAGTCCAGCAGGGGTGAAGCGGCAGACCCACGAGGGCGGCAGTGGGGCGGGCGGCCAGGAGGAGGCAGAAACGTGCCCGACGCCACGCGCCAGGAGCGGGCAGATCCACGCTCGAGGCAGCAGGAGCGCAGGGCCCAAACAAGCGCACCCTCAGTCACTGGGCTGGTCGCCCGCGGTCTCCAGCCACTCGTTCAACAGGGTGAGCGGACGGGCGGGAGGGCGGGCGGGCGGGCGGGAGCGCGGGCGGACGTGTTGGTGACGACGGTGCGGTCGCGCGGGCGGGCGGGCGGGCGCCAACCTGTCGTACCTTCCTTGAGATCTTTATAACACAATATGTTCGGAAGTCCGTGCGGATTTCGTGAATCGGCGCTGCACCCCCCAATGCCAGGGGTGGCGCCAGAGACGCTGCCAGGGAGGTCTAGCGCCGATACAACAAATCCGCGCTGAGCTGGGGTCTACGCCGAGTCAACGCGTCGCGAACCAATTACCGCGCGCTGCGGCACGACACGATGTGGGGCACGAAGTACGAAGTGACACAGAGCGTGGCATCCAACTGCCTGCTCTACAGGGGCAACGAAAGGGTGGGACTGGCTCAGGGGGCAAACATGAACCAGGAATTGGTGATATATCAACGATAGGCCCACGATAGCGAAACCCCACGTTCCTGGGCGGGATGAGCTATCAGGCCCCTATCGGCGACGCATGGGTGATCGGGGCCGGGCCCTGCTGATGTTTCAAAGTAAGCCTTTCGCTTTTTACCCCCTGGAGCCCTCGGCGGTCCTCGGGACCGTCAAAACGACTGATGATCGGAAAGTGCTCGTGGGTAGACACGCTGGGATTCAGGACCTGTTTCCTTCAGGACCTGCTTCCTTCATGACCCGCCCGTTTCCTTCATGCCAATCTGGCGGTCAAATCTTGGTCCGAGCTCCCGTCACACCACATTGCACCCGGTCAAAGCACGGCGTAGTGTGCCACTCATATGGTGCGTTGTGGGAAAGGCCTCTGTTTCGGCGCACCTCGCCTTCGGCAGAAGCCAGCGGAAGTAGAACGGCGGCGGGTCCGCCATCGGAAGCCACTGGAAGGGTGGTCAAATGCGGCGTGAACAACAATGAGACGTCAACATTTTGGGAGTCAGGATTTCAAGAGTCGGCGACGTTGGGCAATGCTGGCGGTAGACAGGCGGGAGAAGGTCTGGTTTTCGCGTCATAGGTCAAATCTCCTGCAATCGTTCGGGACAATCCGGGCACCATCGGAATGCTCTCGGCGAGGCGCAACTCCTGGAAAGCGCCCCGAGGCTAGAAAACGTCCGGGAAGCGACGCGCACGCTCGAAGACCTCGAACTTCGAACTTCGAACCTCGAAGGGCTCCACCCGCCACGTCTTGTGGCGGCGGCCGGATCCCCGATTGCCCAGACCAGGCGCGCGCCGAGGCCGCGGCCAGCCGTAGCGAGGCGTCGCTCATGGCCGCCAGGAACGCCTCATCCGCCCTGGTGGTCCGCGTCTGGTGGACGATCAGGACCTGTCTCCAGCCCTGCCACCCATCCATCCTCCCTCTCGCCGCCCTCTCGATCCCCCTCCACAGCCACTCAAGAGTTACTCAATGTGATTACTTCTCTCCTCACCCCGAAGATTATAGACAAAGTAGCCCGCCCCCCTCCGCGTGCTGTTTTTTCTGCACGCAAAATGTCGAGCATTGTTGCGGTGTTTAAGCTGGTGCTCCCGCTGAAGTGTGGGCCTCAGTTTCAGATCGGCGCTTTGCCCCCGCATGGCGCTCTCCCCCAAGCGCGGGCCACTTTCCTGGATCCGAGTCTAGCTTCATCGTGGTCCCCCCTCATTTCCCCTCCTCCGCTCCTTCCACTCCAGTTCCTGCTGCTGTTCTTTTCGCCCCAGCTAGGGCAACTGTTCTGACTCCGAATCGTGTTTCATCGTGGCCGCCCCTCTCCTTTCCCCTCCTCCGCCTTCCCCTTGTCCTCCTGTTCTTCCCGATCCTTCCGCTGAAATTCCTGCTGCTACAACTGCTGCTCGTCCTCATCCATTTCCTCCCGCTCATCGTCCTGCTCACCTGCCACCTTGTCCTCCTCCTGCGCACGCAGCCCCATGTTTTCCGCCTGCAAATGCCACGAAGTGGCCTTTCTGTAGGAATCGCAGGTCGGCAATGGCACGCGTCCGGGGATATTGGAGAATCAGCGCCATGGGACGGGATGAGAGGGATGGACAGGACGTCAGATAAGGCGCGAACGTCTCTAGTTTGATATGATACGTTTCTCCTCTCCCCTCCGAAGATGATAAAACAATAGCCCGCCCCCACCCGCGTGCTTTGTTCACAAACACACAGAATGTCAAACATCCGTTTGTTGTATGGTTTCGTGGAAGCAAATTGATTCCGGTGCTTCAAACGGGTGCTCCCACTGCAGCGTGGGCCTCAGCTTCAGATCGGCGCTTTGCTCCCGTCGTTCAGCATGGCGCTCTCGCCCAAGCGCGGGCCACTTTCCTGGATCCGAGTCCAGCGTCATTGCGGTCCCCCATCCTCATGTCCCCGCCTTCGCCTTTCCCTGGTCCTCCTCTTCCCCCCGCTCCTTCCACTCTAGTTCCTGCTACTGCTGCTGATCGTCTCGCCCCACCGAGGGCAACCTTTCTTGCACCGAATCGCTCTCCATCGTGTCCGCCCCCCTCCTTTTCCCCTCCTCGGCCTTCCCCTGGTCCTCATGGTCTTCTCTATCCTTCCGCTGCTGCTGCTGCTGCTGCTGCTGCTGCAGCTGTTGCTGTTCGTCATCTTTTTCCTCTCGCTCATCCTCCTGCTCACCCGCCACCTCTTCCTCCTGTGCACGCAGCTCCCACTTTTCCGAATGCGCATGCCACGAAATGGTTTTTCTGTGGGGGTCGCAGGTCGGCTATGAGACGCGTCCGCGGATCATGAAAAATCAACGCCGTGGGACGGGATGGGAGAGAGGGAGGGAAAGGAAAATCAGCTGAGGCGCGAGCGCACCCGGCTTGTCCCCTCCCCCTCCCCTCCCCTCCATCCCCCATCCCTCCCACTCCCTTCCCCTTCCTGTCCCTCCCTTCCCCTCCTTCTCCACCCTTTCGATCCCCCTCTCCCCCTCGACCCCCCCCCCCGCTCCAACTTCGCCATCCTCTCGGTCCCTTTGTTGCCTCAGCACCTGGCCTGTGCCGTTCCACCCCGGTTACACTGCTTCACGATGCCTGCAACGCTCTCGGCGAAGCGCGGCTGCTGGAAAGCAACGTTGAGCGGGAAAACCTCAGGCAACCGACGAGAACGTCTAGGAGGCTCGAGCTTCGAGGCTCGGAGAGATGCGTGTTGGCCAGAATCTCGCGGGGAACCAAGTCGTGGCCACGGGAGGAGCCACTCGAAGGCCCAAAGAGCGGACCCCGAAAGAGCTTTCGATCCTCGACGCTCGATCGTCGAAGCTCCCCAGGCATCAGACGATGTGTGTGTGTGTGTGAGTTTTCCATGCGCGCTCCCAGAAAATCCGAACCCTTCCCTGAGTGCAGTGCATCTTCCCCGGCTTACGTTTGATGACCCCAAAGACGAGGGAAACACGCCTGGACAAAAAAAAAACTATCTTTGGGGGGTCTGGGTCGAACATCGACATGGCGACCCCAGTCCCCGACTTTCCAGGACTTCTGCAAGGATGGGAAAATAAGGCATGGCTGGAAGAGCACAAACAAAACCGAGCAAACAAACTCGACCAGGCTGCGCCAGAACCGCCATCCTGGTGCGTATCCTCCAGCACCCCTTCCTTTCTGAAAGGCAAAGTCTTTGGCGGAGGAACTCCGAGATCGGAGCCGAAAACCAGCCTGCGACCAGCCCAATCGGCTGCGGGTCTCCGGCGGCCGTGCGGGGCGATTCGGGTGTCCCGGGAACGCAGCCGGCGAAGCGCAGCTGCTAGAGAGCACATGCGTGCTGGAGAACCGCCGAGAGCGCACGATAAAACCGACAAACCCGAAGCCGAAAACCTGGAATCTGGGTCGATCCTCGAAGCTCGATCCTCTGGCCCAGTCGACTACGACGCCAATCCTCGATAGGGGTTTGCCCGAAGAGCCCCCAAGAGGTGTGTCCCAGAAGGGCCCCTCCTCTAAAGCGTGGAAATGAGGCCTCCCACATGTGGCCCGAGAGGACGGCGCCGCATCGCCAATCCATCGCACAGGCATCGGCGACGTCGGCGTGGAGAAGACCGGGCTCCTCATCGAGCCGCATCGCCCATGCATCGGCAATACGGCGCGATTTTCTGACCCAATCTGCCCGGGCCCTGTCTGGGTGTCCTGGACCCCCGAAGCTCGGTCCTCGAAGCTTGGTCCTCAGACGTCGACCCTCCGCAACCCGGTCGGCGGGGGCCTCGGCCGACGGGCTGCGCTGGCAGACCGCGAGGAGCGCCCGCGCCAGCAGGGGCGCGAGCTCGGCGAGCCTCGCCCACGGGGCGGCGGGGCGGGGGCCTCTCCGCGGGGCGCCCTCCTCCTCCTCCTCCTCCTCCTCCTCCTCTTCTCCTCCTCCGCCCCCTCACGCTGGCCACTGTGTTGGGCTCGGCAGACGTACGCACGGCGCCACGACCCTGCCATGACGCAGGCTCCCCGGAGTGAGGCATCCAGGTCTTCTACGGGGTCGGCGGCGCGGCGTGAGCCAATGAATCCACGTCTGGAGGTGACGTGCTGAGCGACAACAATTTCTGGCGAATGCCTTAACGTAACGTGCCCAAATTATCAAATATTTCACAGATATGCTGCCGATTGCAATACACTTTGGTATTATTCGCTGCGTTTCGTACGTCGGCCTAAACAATATCTAGACTAGCTGGACACTTCACTGTGCGTTTTCTCCCTGCATGCATGCGCTGATCGTTCAACTAATACACGCGCTATTGTCGTGCATTCCGCTAATGCAGATGCCTCTGCGGAGAAAGAGTCTGTCCAAGTCTCGAGGGGCTGGCCTCCCATGGCCTGCTTGTGCGTAGCACCAATACCCAAAATTAAGTCCGCCAACCCCTTGTGGGTCTCTAGGCGTGTGAGATTGTTCTCCCCCCATCATCCCCCGGTGTAATCAGCGGTTAAAGTGCAGCGAGGAGAGAATGCGTGCCAACGATGCGCACACATGCACGCAGACACACACACACACACTGTTTAAGTCAGCGGCGCAAAGGGTCCTCAAGCGCGAACAGTTGATGGAAGTGCGAATTGCGACCGAGTGTTGCCGATAGCGCAACGCACAAACGTCGTACACAGCAACATGCAAACGATTGGTGTGTTAGGAGACGTGTAAGCCCAAACGAAACATGCAGCGGTCAGAAGACGAGGAACATACTCAAGTCAAAGTAGACGGAAGCGTGACAGACAGACGCAAATTGCGGCTAATGAATCACCAGAACAGTGTTGGACAGTGAAGCGCAAAGAGAAATACTTTTAGGCATATTGGTGGTGTGGCCAACCCAGCGGACCTGCGAAACTTATTGGTAGGATGTTGACCTATGGACCAACGCCATCGGCAGCGATGATGCGTGATGCAGGGCCCACGAGGCTTGGCAACGCCAACCCACACGCGTCACCAGCCGCGCCCAATACAAAGAAGCACGGCAAATGAAGTGCATGATTACGTTTGGATCGCACAACCTGCCAACAAACATTTAACCTGTCGCATGAAACAACCTTTAAAGACAAACAAAGATGACACCGGTCAATCCACCGTGACACAGTATGGGTTGGGTGGAAAACAGTGGACCGGCGACGCAAGGCAACCATAAGTGCGACAGCCGTCGCGTGGCAGCGTCAAGCGCAGCGCGCGTAAACTATACCATCAGCCATACCAAATACTGCAAGCACCAAATCTGCAGTGCAACATAGACAAACATACACACACGAGGCAGAATGGCTGCACCAGCGATAGAGCGCATTGGCGAATAGCCAGAAACGGGGGCGCCGAAAAGCGAATTGGCCAGCATGCAAGAGGAAGAAGAGGACGGACAGGGCGGCCGCGGAGCGGGGAAGAGACAGGGCCACTCAAAGGCGGACATACACATACTGTTCGAGCCGTCATCCAGCAGGCGACTCGCCATACCGTCAACCCACGCGCGCCGGGCGAGCGCGTGACAGCAGTCGGCTCCTCACGGTGCGGGTCGAGCGGTAGCCGGGCCGGCGAAGCCGAGGCGGCGGTCAACAACTCGCACGATCGCAAAACCAACGCGGGCCAGAATTCGCACGAACACAGGCCAGCAAGGCTCACGAGAAAAATGGGGGCTGGTCAAAGACAGTGGAAAGCGAGGAGCGACGGTCGACAGCTAAGGGAGGATACGGGCGGACACGAGGGACACGGGCAGACCGACGGGGGAAGGGAAGCCGAGGGTCTGAGACGAGCAACCCGTAACGCCGACGACCCAGCACTGGCCGTGTCCCGGGAACCTGCCGTGTCCCTGGTCCACCCGGCCTTGTCCGAACTCCTCGCTCTGCCACAAAATGGGACAAGCCAGGCCAGCAATCCTAGTGCTCTATCCGGGTTCTCGTATTTGACCTGGAGGGGGACACGCGTGGACCTGCCAAGGCCTGCAACTCCTGGAAATTTGTCGGGCAAAGCCGAAACCAAACGCTGAAACAACTCAACCGTGACTGGCTCGCTACGTCTTTCCATAGCTAGACCCTGAGCTCTCTTCCAGAGAGCCTTGACGGAAGAAAACGTGGTGGGGTCCCCCCCCCTCCACTTCAAGGACCAAACCTTGGACCTCGCCTCCATTCTCTGGCAGGAATCAAAGGCAGGCGCCCCCCCGGGCACGTAACTCTCCGGCGTATGCCCCCTTTTCCTTGAGCCTGTTATACAACCCCTTGCCGCCTTGATGGTCTTGCTCTAAGACCCAGGCGTGGAACTTGCCTAGTCTCGCGTGAAGGACACCTTCTGGGCCCTGACCGAGTTCTAGAATGCCTGATTACGTAAATGTTGCGCGAATCGTCAGCCTGATCCCAAGCTGCGCGACGAGCTCGAACCCACCTGGATCGAACCCTGGGAATTAGGGGAACCGTGGTGGCTAAGTCACTCAGCCTCTCGAAAAGCCTCAGACCCCTTAGGTGAGCTCGTGTTATGAAGCTGACTAGGTAGATCAGACAGCAAAAACTTAATCGTGGATCGCCAATGGGCAACTGGATCCCGAGAAGACACAAGATGGCCAACCTGGGCCTCTGGCTTTCTCTGAAGCTCCCTCATGGAGCCTCCTCCACGATATTTAGCCTGGTCCCTGGGATGGACACGCCTGCAAGAAGCGTCGGATGCGTCCTCGAGGCTGGGGGTACTGAAACACATGGCATTAAGCCAAAAGACGACAGACACACACACACACACACACACACGCACACACACACACACACACACACACACACACACACACACGCGCACTCTCTCTCTCTCTCTCTACCTCTCTCTTTGGCGATCGCGGCCCCGCGCGCAACGACGAAATGAAGAAATTCACGCGCTACGAACGAAAACCCGCGCGCGCCGGCATCAGAACAGGACCGCACCATATGCCATCTGGGCATGGATGGTAGGGAGAAGGTGCGAACGAGAGAGAAGCCGACCCGACGACGGGAGGAAGGAACCCACACAGTTACAAGCGGTAACAAGGACAATGCCGATGCAGATGGCAGGCAAGCGCTCGAACAACGAGCGAACTACTGCCGCAGACGAAGCGTGTGAGAGGTGAGCGGAAAGTGACAGGAGGCTCAACTCCTTGGCTTTCGCCTCCACGCACACACATAATTCAAACACTTTCACTCACGTGTACCCAGCGAAGCTCAAATACTGACGAAGGATTCATCTATACCTCTACCCGTATCGCCTTGGCAAAAGCATGCAAGAAATCTACTGAGCGCTCCGCAGACGCCTCCAGCAGCGGAAATGCAATGCCGTCACCGCGCACATCATCACCCCGCTACTGCGGGCTGCAGTGGCGCCCCCAGGAAATCACGGATTTGAGCGATGTCGGAAACTTGCCAAGAGAAATTAGGTACGGGCAATGCTGGGTATAGACGTTTTGCGAAACATGCACACAAACATATATACCTATACCTGTCGTCTCTTCGTTTCCACAACAGGGTGGGACATCTGCTGCGACCACCGACGTCTAATAGAGGAAAAGAGAATCAACTCAAAAGGCTTGCGACGCACACTCTTTCACAACGCCGTCGCCCACGCGATACGCGGCTTCCTCTGACGCAAATTTCAAGAGAAAACGGGTATAGGTATAGATTTAAGGTTCGTGAAATATGCTCACGCGCACACACTCACACACAAACACTGCTTGCGTCGGTACCCCCCGCCAACTCTCGACCTCCGTTGCCCTTGGCGCGCGCCGGAGCGTGAGGGAGCCGCAAGAGGGATGACAAGGCTGGCTCGACGCTCGACCTAGCTCGACCCTTCCGGGAGGGACGGGTGGGCACAGACAGCTGCAAAACGGCTGCCGCAGTAGTGAAACCTCACGACCCATTCAATAGCATAATCGTGCAATTGTGTGAAAAACAACTTACGAACCCGACCCGAGGTATCATGAACACCCGACCAATATCCGAATCATTCAACTCGGCATCGAAATACGGTGATGCCAACCATAAAGATAGGGATATCATTCACGCTGGGAATCGTACCCTGTCCGTGATGCATCGTGTGTCAACTCGTCGAAGCGTCGTACATCCCGCTATCTTGCGACAGATGAAACAGAAAGAGCAAGGTGGGCGCCAGACAACGTCCGCTGCTATGAGCACGTCAAACTGCTCGCCCGCAGGCCTGAGGAGAGAAGAGACCGCGAGGCAGGATCAATCGCCATCCAATCGGGAAATCGGTTCGAACCTGTGTGTGTGTGTGAATCGGACAAGGCTGCATCGGCACCGACAGGTCACCTAACTACGCGCCGCGCGACCCGCGATGCGCGACGCGGGTTCTTTGTCCACGCCCTCGTGCCGCCTTCTGGAGAAGGATAGCCCAACGGGCCCGGCCGCGACGCGCGAAGCGCGACTATCTTCGCGCCCCTGGAGGTGACCAAGGGCACGGAGGCGAAATCGAATCGGATCGGATCGGCTTCGCCAGGATGCGCAGAAACAACATACACGTATCAGGCCGGATCGGATCCCTGGACTGTCGAATCGACTCGAGCCTAGCCGGCTGGAATCGATGTCGAAGGAGAGCACTCGGGTCGAGATGGACCATGCCCCTGCCGTTTGGCAAGATTCCGGCATCCCTAGAACTGGAGGCCTCCCGAATGGGATCCGAGTAGATTGGGTTGGAGGATCGCGTGGTATCGCCAATGCATCGCAGATGCATGGGCGATGCATCGGCGGCGTCAGCGATGTAACGCGCCGTCGGCGAGAAGAACATCGGGATCCACATCGAGCCACATCGCCCGTGCATCGGCGATGCGGCGCGATCCACTGACACGAAGTACTCTGGTCCAATTTGGGAGATGTGGAAGAACACCCTCGACGAGGCGCAACTGATGGGGACAGCATCGGGGGTCGAAATCCTCCGAAAACCTCCGACAACAACTGCAAACACTGATACCCTGGCACGCGCGAGCAAAAATTACGGATCCGTGCGTATGGCGTGTGGGCGCCAGATCCAGGGATCGGAGAAAGTACCCCCTGACCCATGAGGCCAGTGCCGCCTCATTTGGCGACGGAGCGCGTCGAATCTTCTGGCATGGACAAAGGACCTGTCGCTCATTCACGCGCCATAAACCGTGTCACCGATTCCTTGAGAACTCTGCATCGCCTGATTGCATGATCTTCGCGACGCTCGGCTGGAGCCTGCCCGATCCAGGGAGCCTCGCGAACGGCGCACCGCCGGGCTAGCAGCTGCCTGCTGGAGGGCTGGCCGCCCCGAGCTACAGTGAGCCCGCTGGGGTCTCTGAGGCCCAGTCGTCGGGCAAGGAACCGCGCGACGGGAAGCTGGATCGCTAGTCTTTGCGCGTCGCGCCCCACGATGCGCGACGCGCAGCTGTGTTCGCGCCTTCGCGCCGCCGGGGGCAGTCGTCCAGGCGCGGTCCTGAAATACGCATTTCCCTTCGAAACTCTCCCCCTCTCTCTCTCTCTCTCTCTCTCCCTTTCGCTCTCTCTCTTTCTCTCTCTCTCTCTCTCTCTCTCTTTCTCTCTCTCTCTCTCTCTTTCTCTCTCTCTCTCTCTGTGTGAAATACATGGTGTCATTGCTTCCCTGTCGGTTCTAGCAAAGCAGCTGGCAAGGATATGTACTACCAACCATGTCATTCAGACAATGTGAACAGCAATCCCATCCGTATCCTTTCGGGCTCAACCATTTCATGACCCTCTTTAGCAAAATACCATCGCCAATTGTCTCAAAGACTTCTACGACACGTGATGATCATAACTTTGCAACTGCCTTTGCACGTCGACCCCTCTTTGCAGCACTGGCTCTGCATCGGTAGCAAGAGCGAACTCGATCGCGGCATCTCCGTGACCTGGCGGTCAATGGCGTTCGCGACCTGGCGGTCTCAGACCACAGCAGGAGACAGTCCGTGCACAGTAAAGTTTTTGTCGCCGACCACTCGTCCAGATGGCGATTCGTGCTGCCACAGTTTGCGGCGTCGACACATCAGGCGGAAACGAAGTCCCCATCCCCATTTTCGACGGCATGAACAAGGCCATAAAGAATTTGCGCAGGGAGGTCGCCACTAATTAGGGAGCTCGGCACCGATGTGGCAGTCAAGTGACGCGGGGCTACGTTCTTAGCAAGCCTGAAGGGGCAATGCTGAGGAGGCCTGCGAAGAGCTGGAGTCAATGGCAACGACTCGGTGGACGTCTTCCTCTAGTACCTGAAGGAGAAGGTGGAGATCCCGGCGCTCCTGATGACCATCGTCAAGCCGGCACTGTTCTGGAACAAATGCGAAGAGATTCGAGATGTTAGCAACCAGTTCAAAAGTGTGGCGATCAAGGTCGAAGCTCGAGGCATCAACTTGCCCGAATCTGTCGTGGCCGACTTGTACATCAAGGGCGCGAAGATGCCAGTGGAGCGAGCAACTGGCGTGCTCACCGCCATGAACAACATGTTCAATCCCACGAAGTTACAATGGCAGCCATGATCAGCTTACCCAAAATATCGGTCGCCAACAACAAGAAAACACATCAGAAGGACCACAATAACGGCAGTGGCTACGGACATACGAAGGACGGTCACCCTCACTGCAAGAGCCTACGCTGCAAGCCCTTTGCACCTAGGAAAAAAGCGCGTTCTGTGAGCGTTTGGGAAGGGCGGGGGCTGGAACCAGAACCCCGCCCCCCTAGATTGACGGGAAGGGTGGAACCGGGCCCCTGGATTGAGGGGGGAAGGGAGGGTTCGAACCCCTCCCCCACTCCTTCTCCTGTGACGGAAAGGGGGGGGTGCAACCCGTCCCCCGTCCTCTCCGCCCCTACTTCTCCTCTCTCCCGCGCCTCGGGCCGGCGCCGGCGTCGGCGGCGGCTGGCAGCGGCGGCGGGGAGCGTCGATGAAGACGACGACTTGCTTTTCTGGGCCGGCGCCAGCGACTGCGGCGGCTGGCGGCGGCGGCGGGGAGCGTCGACGAAGACGACGGCGACGACGATGACGACGACGACGCTCCGCCAGCGTGTCTTGGTTTTGGGTCAGGGTCCTTACGGATGCCTCTTGGGGTCTCGTCGGAGGGCTCTCGGGGGCCTTTGAAGGGCATTTGTGAAGCCTCCTGGGCGCCTCTTGGGCGTCTCTTGGGGCCTCTCTGAAGTGGCGGTGGCTGTGGTGGGCTGTGGTGGTTGTGTGGTGGTGCGTGGTGGTGGTGGTGGTGGCGGTGGGTTGTGGTGGTGGTGGTGCGTGGTGATTGTGTGGTGGTGCGTGGTGGTGGTGGTGGTGTGGTGGTTTGTGGCGGTGGTGGTGCTGGCGGTGGCGGTGGGCTGTGGTTTTGGTGGTGGTGGTGGTGGTGGTGGTGGTGGTGGTGGTGGTGGTGGTGGTGGTGGTGTTGCTGGTGGTGGTGCGAGTGGTGGTGGTGGGTGGTGGGTGGTGGGTGGTGGGTGGTGGGTGGTGGGTGGTGGGTGTTGCTGGTGGTGATGGTGGTGGTGGTGGTGCGGGTGGTGCTGGTGGTGCTGGTGGTGGTGGTCGTGGCCGTGGTTTGTGATTTGTGCTGATGTGGTGGGTTGTGGCGGTTGTGGTGGTGGTGGCCTTGGTGGTGGTGGTAGTGGTGTGGTCGTTTGTGGTGGTGGTGGTTGGGGTGGGTTGTGGTGGTGGCGGTGGCGATTTTGGCGGTGGTGGTGTAACGGTTTGTAGTGATGGTGGTGGTTGTGGTGGTGGGTTGTGGTGGTTGCGGTGGTGGTGGTGGTGGTGGCGGCGGTGGCGGTGGCGTGGTGGTTTGTGGTTTGTGGTGATGGTGGTGCTGATGGCGTGGCCTTCGGGTCTTCCCGCCAACGTGTTTCGGCTCTTGGTCAGAGTTCTAATGGATGCCTCTTGAGGTCTCGTCAGGGGCGTCTGAGGAGAAAGTGTGAAGCCTCCTGGACCTTCCTGAAGGCCTCTCGGTGGCTTTTGGGGGGCGAAAAATCGATATGCCGATTTGCGTTTCCCCTCTGCCGCCTCTGGGCCCTCTCTGGTCATCGTCGCTGCGTCCCCGCCGTCGGCGCTGCTCGCCGCCGCCAGCGTCGGCGCGGCGCCGGCCCCGGGGGGGTGGCGGGCTTGAACCCCCCCCTTGGCCCTCTCTGGTCGTCGTCGTTGCGTCCCCGTTGTCGGCGCTGCTGGCCACCGCCAGCGCCGCCAGCGCCGACGCCGGGAGACGGGGGGGGGGGCTGGTGGATTGGGGAAGGGGTCAAGGGGGAAGGGGAGTCCCCCTGGTTCTGATCGACGGCGCCGAATGTTCGGGGGGGAGGCCCCCCCCAGCTCGAAACGCGCCGCCGAATGTTCCCAAGGCAAGCGCCCGCGAGCGAAACGCGCTCTCTCGCACCTAAAGAAGCACCAGATCGGACCGCAAGACGACGGTGCTGGAGCTGCGCCAGCGTCTGAAGGACTGCCGAATGGACGGCGCGGTCAGCAGCTAGTCTTCAGTGGCGAGCCCAAACCCGCAAATCACGGGGAACAACATCATGCGTTTCGGCAAATACCTGGCGGCCTCCTACATCTACATTCTGGAAATCGACCTGGGGCACTGCCAGTGGGCGATGCTCGAGTTGAGCCACGGCAAAGAAGCGTCGCCACCTCTGGCGCCCTTCGGCAGGCGGGTCAAGGCCCGCGGCGCGGAGCCCCTACCGGAGAGCAAACGCAAGGCGACCGTCGAGGAAGTACTGCGGGAGGACACAAAAGTCTCGAACAGGCGTGCCAGGCGCCGCCCGCGATCACCACGGGGGCGCCCTGGGGCAGCCCGGGCAACTGGGCCGGAGCAGGGCGCCGCGCCCTCAGGGGCCCCACGATGGACACCGCGGACCTGGGTTCGAAGTCCAGGACCACGCCGACGCGGCGGAGTCCGAGGGCCCGAGCGAGAGCGGAGCGAGGCGCTAGGCGGCGGCGGCCGCCAACAGGAGCCGCGGGAAACGACCCAGCGGCCAAGCATCACCAAGAGCAGGCGCGTCGCCACCCTGTGACAGGTCACGAGCTTGTTGAAATCATTCGCCTTTCAGACGGCGGTCAGAACGAAATGGCCGTCGCAACCGCTAAGGCCCGTCGCGGGGCACGCTTCGGGCGCCCTGCAAAACGCGGCAAAGCACGTCACGGGCGACAAGGAGGTCTTCGGAACTAACGGCCACCGCGCGGACGTCACGCAGGCTTTCGGAGGCGAGGGCGGCATCGCC